TGTTGATGGACTAGAAAGTGAGATGGCAAATACACTCACTTTTGTCCACGTGTAGTTAGTTGAGTATCATAAGCCACCTTCCAACTAATTAACCAAATTAAAACAGCTCATACACATGGTAAGGATAATTATGATGTTTTGTATGAGGTGGTTGAATATTGGGTTCATCAATTTTCTTTATGTAGAAAGAAAAATCATGCCAGATAAAAGCGTGAGTTGCTTGTGTTGTCAATAGCGATTGAATAAGTTATAAACCATATATAGTTTTGTTACAAAAATACATTAAATTAATTTTCACATGTGTTGCGGATAAACATTAAATGGTCGGGTGGTACTTAGAGCATCCACATCAAACTTTCATTTTTAATTTCAAATTGATGTGGCAATGAAAATGCAATTGCATTACCAATTACGCGAGTCTCAATTGCAATTGCCATGTAAGCATTTTTTACTTTTATGATTTTTTTATTGTTTTTCTTTTATTACCTCTTTGCTGGCGGAATTTCTTTTCACAATGGCATAAGCTTTCTTTTTGTTTCCTTTTGATTTTCAATTTGATAGGCGGCCATCCATACAGTTTTTTTTATATTTAAATTTATATGTTGGGATTTGCAAGACAAGTATATGTAGATTATAGTTTATTTTTCCCACTTTGAGAATGGAAAAATAAGAAAATCTATTTCCATAATAATAATATATGAATGAAATAATAATCTTATATACCTTTTATTATATAAAAATATAATTTATGGCAAATATATAATTGCAAGTTAATTGTATTGATGTAAATGAATGAAATTAAAGTGATATGGATTGCAAAAAGTTTAAGTTGGCAGTAAAGATGACAAATACAATTGATGTGGAGGCTCTTATCCCTTAGGTGTGTTATTTTTTGAATTTCAATTTCAATTGCATTGATAGAGATGCTCTTAACACAAATTACTTAACATGCAAACAAACTTCTAATCAGAGTCGTCGATAGTTGCTTCGCGATTCTAGTGCTTTCTGTCAATGCGGGAAATTTTTGTTTTTGTTCTTATCCTGGGCTATTTATCATCTTCTCGAAACTCTATTTTGAGTTATTACTAGGATTGTTTGTATGCACACGTGATTGTCATGATGTTGTAATGTATATCGTCATCTGATAACAGAAGTTGTCGGATGTAATATTATTTCTTTAAAAACAAACTAAAGCCTAATAAAATATGAGTTGCTTATGTTATCAAATAAAAGGATAAGTTAGTTTGAAAGTGTGGTTAAAAGAATCTTTTATTTTTTAGTGTCAACTTGTATTGTCTTTAGATAACGACTGAATAGCCTGATGCTTTCTAGCACAAACTAATTTTTCCATTTTGGGTACTTGTGCAGACTGGCTCCTAGCTTGCGTTAAAGTCAGTTTTGGCATTAATGGAAGCATACAATGATGAAATTGCTGTTGGAAAGAAGCAAAAGCTCATTTCACTTTGTTAAGAGAAAAGTAAGGAGCTTTGCCCCATCATCTCCATTCTCCAGAGTATTATACCAAAAGATATCACCATTGGAGTTGTTCTTCAACACTACTTGGTAAATTTCACATAAAACAACACTTACATGGTGCAACACTAGTAGAATACACAAACAAAAGCATCCACTCATGGATAGCTTCACACATCAAAGAGTACAATCTAAAACACAATAACAAATGAGTTGTAGCATAATTGAAAATAATTTGAGATAGGAATAACATTTTACTATTATATTTGGATCTAAAACACAATAACAAATGAGTTGTAGCATAATTGAAAATATATTAACTAATAGTGGCAATGTCCCAAATTTAAATCACATAAACTACTACTTAAATATTATTTATACCAATACGCAAACTACTACGGGAGATTGGATAATCATTTTCCCAAATTTTAAATGTGTCCCACTACCACTTAAACATTTTTTTTCTCATACGCATATTACTATTGTAGATTGAATAATCGTATTTCCAAATTTTAGGGGTGTCCCGTTTTTCTCATACGCATATTACTGTTGTAGATTGAATAATCGTATTTCCCCGGGACACCCCTAACCATGCATGTATCGGTCACTGCCTACATGCACATACATACTAAATAGTATAGTTAGTAACGATACAAATACGTTACGCTACTAAACATGTACAATATATCATCCACCTTCTGGAGACAAAGGGCACGACTCCAAAGGTTAGGCCACAAGCAGCTTGACAGAAGAACGAGAAAAGGATCATAACAAGTTAACAACAATGGAGCCTCCCAATGATTTGACCCGACCCAAAATTACACACATAATGTCGCCTAAAGTCTAGACGAGCCATAGTGTCCACAGCCTTCCCCTCATCCCAAACCTCTTCGCCACCTCATCGGAAAGTCGCCCTCCCCCTAGTCGGGAAATTAAATTCGCCAATCCAAAGCTCGCCGCAATCATTCCGGCGGTTTGGAGGTCCAAATTGAATCGGTCGTAGAAATACTCGGCAATCACATTATCCACCGTCAATTCCACCCCGAAGCAGAATCCATAAGTCAGAGCCAGAATCCATCCCCTGAAGAATTTGATGACGCGGAAATACGAAAGAACACAGAACACAATAGATTTTACGTGGTATCCTCGATCGATTGATTGATCGAGACTAATCCACGGTGAGCTCATAAGAGCTCACGGCTGATCTCTTATTAGTATTACATCTTGACGACTTGCTATCACACAAATCGATAGCTAAGCTTATATAGATAAACTTAGGGTTAAAACCCTAATCCAACGAATCAGACGAGGCCCAACAAGGCCCAATACTAACAGGTTTTAAGTAACCGCAACACTCCCCCTCAAGCGAAGACATGAATGACAAGAATGTCGAGCTTGAAGAAGTAAATGTGAAGAACAAGCATGATGGTTTGAACCACAAATATCGAGATGAATAACATCTTGGACGAGGTTGATGGGAGACGACTGACTCTCTCTCTGAACAACCTGATGATGGAGACGATTGACTGCGTCTCTTGAACTTGAACACACTTGGTACATCGCGATCGACCTGATTACTGAGTTAGTCGATCCACGTATGTAGACATCCTATTCTCCCCCTCAAGCTGGAGCATGAACAACGAGAATGCCTGGCTTGAAAACCGATGAATGGTTGACATGTGCCCAATAATGAACTGGAAGAGGGGACGACCATTTCATGGATCGTGAATGCCAGCTGGACGATGAAGGGACGATGACTTCTCTGATCGTACAACCTTTTGAACGCCAGGGGACGACCATTTTATGGATCGTGAATGCCTCGACCTGATGACTTGAAAATTTTGTTGGCAGAAACTGTTCTTTCTCCCCAACACTAGCTATTTGAAGAGACGACCACTGCTGGTCACAATTGTCTTCAATGCCATGACTGGGATGTTGGTGAAGATTGCTTACTGTCCAACTATGAAGATGACTCATCGGCAATGGCGAACGGACTTGATAGCATAGAACACCGAATGCACAAGTTTAAGACGAATCCCGGCTGCAAGGCAGATGAGATGACAGCCAACTATGGTCACCAAAAGCTGAAGCAAGTGGCGAAATTCGATGATGCCAACTAAAAATCCTGTAATTTCCTCCACCACCAACACAAGCTGGAAAATTGATGACAATATAACTTGGTGGACCGAACAGAACCACTGAAGCTAAACCTTGAGCTTCGGCAATGGCGAGAAGACTTGATAGCATAGAACACCGAATGCACAAGTTTAAGACGAATCTCAGCTGCAAGGCAGATGAGATGACAGCCAACTATGGTCACCAAAAGTTGAAGCATGTGGCGAAATTCGATGATGCCAACTAAAAATCCTGTAATTTCCTCCACCACCAACACAAGGCTGGAAAATTGATGACAATATAACTTGGTTGACCGAATAGAACCACTGAAGCTAAACCCTGAGCTTGAGACCAATAATACCATGTAAAGTAAACAACCACCTGCCGCCTTCAACAAAATCTGGTTGTTGATGATGGAAGCCGAAGAAAACTTGAGTTGGCATTATTCTGGATGGGATGGGCTAGATTGACCAAAACAAGAACATGCCCAATTATTCTTCACGTAAGAACAAATCCAATTAATTAACTAATACACCCAAAGCTAGTCCCAAGAAAAGGAAGGCAATAATGGGCGTAGAAGAGAATTATTTGGACGGCATGATCAAGAGCATTAGAGGACATGGGCGTTGCTGCTAAGTGTTAGACGACGTGGAAAAGAAGCTCCGAGCGGTGATGACTGATGAGACTTGGCTTGTCGGGGATTCTGGAGCTGCCGACGATGCTTGACTCCGGATTCTACATCGGAAAGTCAAGACGGCGAATGTCAATGATGCGACCTTGCTTCTTGATTGAAGGATGAACGACAACGTCTCCGCCGGGAACGGAACCTTACCTTGAGATTGAGGAAGGTGTGCCTGGACTAAGAGTGAGACACGCACAGCACCAGAATTTAGCTTATTGCGTTAACGATGGACATGGAGCCGGATTTGAGGCATGATGACGGTGGCCTCTTTGCAACGAACAAGATTTGGTGGCGGACAACGCCTTGACAGCGACGGAAACACCTTTCCCTATGAACATAGAGGTTGCTTCTTTGTCTGACCTGGTGACGATCTGCAAGACAGGAAAACCAGCAACGAGGCGACGACTTTTGTGACTCCGATCGGCTGCTGGGGTCTCTCACGTACGGCCAGACTGATGATCGGAAGATCCGGATTTAAGGCGACAATTATACGTGACCGTTTGATGACGATGGCGGCGATATTGACGACGATGATACCACGTTGCACTCGGAGCCGGATTTGAGGCCTGATGACAGAGACGGGAGCAAAACCTGATTTGAAGGACTCAGCGCTTGAACTTAGCTGAGTGAGCGTGGTCTTTTTGTATCCCACGACGAGACGAAGGAGATCAGCCGAGCATAAGAGACATAGCGGAAACCGTGGTAGTGAAGAACACCGCCGGAGCTATGATCAGGACGAGGGAAGCGGAGGCGAGCCGGGGCCCACCGTGTCGCAGGCGGCACCCATTGCGATGCGAGCGACGACGGCGCCGGTGACGGAGGCGATGCCGGCGTACCCGATTTCGGCGGCGGTGAGGTTGAGATTGTCACGGATGATTGGGAGTAAAGGAGGCGCGGCGAAAGTGGAGACGAAGCAGGCGAAGAATGAGAGCCAGGAGAGATGGAAGGCCCGCATGTGTGGTGCGGAGAAATTGTAGAGTGGGAATTTCGTGGCCTTGTGCTCGATCTGTGTCCACCGGGAGGGCGAATTTGGGATGCTGTTTTTGGTTATCATTTTCCTGGGCTGCTGCTGCTGAATTGGGTTTGATTCCCATGGCTGCTGCTGAATTGGGTTTTCCATGTTTCAAAGGGTAATAAAGCTGAATCACAGCGAAGTCTTGGAGGTTTCAGAGAGTAGAGACTGACACTTCACTTACCGCCGAGTATCAGTTTCAAGTGCTGAATCTGGGCAAACGATTTACTTTGATGCCCAAGCGGTTGTTAATGTTCTGATTCTTATACGCGTTGTGCTTTTATCCTCTGTATATGTTGTCATTGGATAGGAGAACCTGTCTTGTGTATTTAGGAGGGACAATAATGTTATGATAAATGCGGGAGATGTTTGTTGTTGTCAATGGCGGCCATATAACTTCAAACTTATATACAAATTTGTTAAAAAGAAACATGGATTTAATGTTCACATATGTTGTGGATAAATATGTTAAAATTAAATAAAGTTTAATTAATAAAATAAGAAAATATCTGAAGCCCCTAGAATCTACCTGTATGTGTTAGTTGTGCAGAAGTGTGTAGAATCAAAATAAATGAGTTAGTTGTCAGTTGTGATTAAACAAAATTGGAAAAAGGAAAGCCACATATGTATGGCGGTGGCTTGAGTTGGAATGGCTATAAATAGCCAAGTGTTATATGTGTAAGAAGCATCAGAGAAGCAGAAGAAAGAAAGCAAAAATAGAAAGCTTTCTTTAGAAAAACCCTCTGCCACATACTCTCTTCCAAAACCCTCTCCCATTCTCCAAATATAAAAACCAAAGTTGCCTTCCTCCAATCTATTCTCATTTCAATACACGTGCCCACCAAAGTAATTATAAGGAAATAATTTATTTTATTTCCAACAAAGTGGTATCAGAGCCCGAGTTATTCTTAAGTATGCTCTGTGGTTGCAGCGTAGTCTGAACTTCCACATCAGAAAATAATTTCTCGTGTTTTTGTTATCACGATTGTCCCATAGCCGAAAAATCCACTTTCCCCATTCAATTCCCCCACCTTACCAAAACCAATTATAAAAATTGGTGCATTCGTATGAAAGCCTTGCTTGGATCCCAAGATGCTTGGGATATTGTCGAAAAAGGCTATGAGATTCCCGTGGAGGATTCTCGGTTATCTCCTACTGAAAAGGAGGTATTGAGAAAAAATAAAAAGAGTGATCAAAAAGCACTCACTCTCATTCATCAGTGTCTTGATGAATCGATGTTTGATCAAATAGCAGATGCTACCACAGCAAAGGAAGCATGGGAGATTCTACAAAAGGAAATGCAAGGCGTGGAACCAGTGAAGAAGGTTCGACTCCAGACACTCAGGGGAGATTTTGAAGCAATAAAAATGAAGGTGAATCTGTTTCAGATTACACCGCTCGTGTGAAGTCAGTCGTCAGCAAACTGAAGCAGTATGGGGAGAAAATTGAAGAGACCAAGGTGGTGGAGAAAATTCTACGGTCATTATTACCGAAGTTCGATTATGTGGTGGTGGCCATGGAGGAAGCAAAAGATGTGTCAAAAATGACAGTGGATGAAGTCATCGGTTCATTACAAGCCAGAGAGGAAAGGCTAAATAAAAGAAATGAAGAATCGTCAGAACAAGTGTTAGCCACAAAAGCTACCACTGAGGAGAAAGATGGTGCCCGAGGAGGAGGTCAGTACAGAGGTCGAGGCAGAGGCAACTACAGAGGCAGAGGAAGAGGCAGAGCCCGAGGAGCATATCAAAGTAGAGACGGAGGAAATTTCACCACGAACAATTATGAAACGTCCACCAGAGGCAGAGGTCGTGGTCGTGGACGTGGAAGAGGAAATTGGAGATCGAATGAAGGTCGTGATAAATCCAGCGTCCAATGCTATAATTGCTCGAAGTATGGGCATTATGCATCGGAATGTTGGAGTCCGCCTAAAGAAGTGGAGGAGACAGCAAACAACGTGCAAGAAGAAGTCAAAGGCACATTGATGCTGTCACATCAAGGAGATGAGAAACCGAAAGACAACATGTGGTATCTGGATAATGCAGCAAGCAACCACATGTGCGGTAAAAGAAGCATGTTCGTGGATATGGATGAATCAGTGAAAGGAAATGTTGTATTTGGAGACTCCTCGAAGGTTCCTATCAAAGGGAGAGGAACTATACTCATCCGGCTCAAGAATGGCTCACAGCAATCTATCAGTGATGTGTACTATGTCCCAGACATGACTAGTAACATCCTGAGTTTGGGTCAGCTGATGGAGAAAAATTATGAAGTCCACATGGTGAATCGTCAACTGGAGCTGTTAAATGAGAAGAAGCAGTTGTTGGCCAGAGTCCCAATGTCGAGAAACAGAATGTTCACCCTGAACATTCAGACTGAAATGGCGAAGTGTTTGAAAGCATGCGTGAAGGACACTACATGGTTGTGGCATCTGAGGTATGGCCATCTGAATTTTGGAGGCCTAAAGTTACTCGGTCAGAAGAAGATGGTGCATGGTCTACCAGTGATCAATCATCCAGACCAGTTGTGTGAAGGATGCTTGGTTGGAAAGCAATTCAGGGCAAGTTTCCCGAAGGAGTCGCTGTCACGAGCTAAAGCACCACTTGAGCTCGTCCATGCAGATCTCTGTGGACCGATCACCCCAACATCGTTCGGGAAGAACAAATACTTCCTATTGTTCATCGATGACTACAGTAGAAAGACATGGGTTTACTTCTTAAATCAGAAGTCAGACACATTTGAAGCTTTCAAGAAGTTCAAGATGCTCGTGGAGAATGAAAGTGGCCGCTACATCAAAGCCATGAGATCAGATAGAGGTGGAGAATGTATGCTCAAGAAGTTCAGAAGGTTCTGTGAATATCAAGGAATTCGCAGGTTTCTCACAGTTCCAAGATCGCCACAGCAGAATGGAGTTGTTGAAAGGAAAAACAGAACTGTACTCAACATGGCGAGAAGCATGATGAAGAGCAAGAACCTGCCAAAGGAGCTATGGGCTGAAGCTGTTGATTGTGCAGTCTATCTGCTGAACAGGTCACCAACAAAGAGTGTTTGGAATCAAACACCCCAAGAAGCATGGAGCGGAAGGAAACCCACAATCTCTCACCTCCGAGTCTTCGGAAGTGTCGGATATGTGCACGTACCGGATCAAGAAAGGAAGAAGTTGGATGACAAAAGCAAGAAGTACATATTCCTGGGATACTCAGAACACTCAAAAGGTTACAAGATGTTTGATCCCGTGGAAGAGAAGCTGATCATCAGCAGAGACGTGGTGGTTGATGAAGAAGCAACATGGGACTGGACTGTTGAAGCAAAGAAATATTACACTTTTTATCCATTCACTATGGATGAAAGTGATGATGAACCAGATACAGCTACACCAGTGACAAGTCCACCCAGTCACAGAGAGCCTGCTAGCCCAGAAGGAGAATCTAGTGAAAGTCCCCGAGAAAGGCCACAGAAGTATAGAAGACTTGAAGAAATTTATGAGGAAACGACAACCATTGAAGGTGATGAATTGACACTCTATTGTCATTTCATTGATGATGAACCAGTGGATGCTGAAGAAGCCATGAAGGATGAAAAATGGAAGAAAGCTATGGATGAAGAAATTGGAGCAATTGTGAAGAACAAGACTTGGGAGCTTGTGTCGCTACCTGAGAACCAGAAGCCCATCGGTGTGAAGTGGGTATTCAAGGCCAAGAAAAATGCTAAAGGAGAAGTCGTCAGACACAAAGCAAGATTGGTGGCTAAAGGATACAGCCAGAGACCAGGCATTGACTACAATGAAGTATTTGCTCCCGTAGCGAGAATGGAAAGTATCAGGATGGTGATATCTCTCGCTGCTCAAAATGGATGGAAGATACATCAAATGGATGTGAAGTCAGCTTTTTTGAATGGATATCTCGAGGAAGATATCTATGTGGAGCAACCTCCTGGATATATCGTCAAAGGTCAAGAAGATAAGGTGTTGAAGCTCAAAAAGGCTCTGTATGGTCTGAAACAAGCACCTAGAGCTTGGAATAGCAGGATTGACAAGTATTTTCAGCAGAATGGGTTCAGCAAATGCCCACATGAGCATGCACTATACTGCAAGGTGCAAGGGGGAGCAATCTTGATAGTTTGCCTATATGTAGATGATCTTGTCTTCACAGGCAACGATCCTAAAATGTTTGAAGAGTTCAAGAAGACGATGGTTCGTGAGTTCGAGATGACAGACATCGGACTAATGTCATACTATCTCGGAATTGAAGTAAGTCAAAAGGAGGAAGGAATTTTCATCTCACAGAGTGGCTTCGCAAAGGAGGTCCTGAAGAAGTTTAAGATGGAGAGCTGTAATCCTGTGAGCACACCAGCAGAGTGCGGATTAAAGTTATCCAAGGATGATAAAGGAGAGAAGGTCAACTCAACGGAGTTTAGAAGTCTCGTGGGAAGTCTGAGATATCTGACTTGTACCAGACCAGATATTCTCTACGCAGTTGGATTAGTCAGCAGATACATGGAGGCACCAACTATGTCACACTGGAATGCTGCCAAGAGGATATTGCGCTATATAAAAGGTACAATCGATCATGGTTTGCTTTATACTAAGTCAGAAAATTTCAAATTGGTTGGATACTGCGATAGTGATTGGGCAGGAGACGTGGATGATCGCAAGAGCACTACAGGATTTGTATTTTTCCTGGGAGATACAGCTTTCACATGGAGTTCAAAGAAGCAAGCTATTGTGACATTATCTACTTGTGAAGCTGAGTATGTTGCTGCGACATCCTGTGCGTGTCATGCGATATGGCTGAGAAAATTGCTAAAGGAGTTGAACATAGCACAAGAAGAATCAACTGAGATTTATGTTGATAACAAGTCTGCCCTAGCATTAGCAAAGAATCCGGTGTTTCATGATCGCAGTAAGCATATTGATACAAGATATCATTTCTTGAGAGAGTGCGTGG